CTACTTCGAGGGAGAGAAGAAACACCTGCAGGCCGGAAAGTTCTTCCAGAAGTGTGGCCAGTACAGCAGAGTGAGAACCCTCCTCGATTTGTATTTCGTTTTTCTGTGGTGGAGGAATTATGCAGATTCTTTACTTGGATACATTTTCTCATACCGCACTGTGAAAATTCTACCATTCCTGCATTCAAAAGCTAACTTCAGTGAAGGTACTTTACTGTCTTATCAGCAGAATGGATCAGTAAAAGAATAGAATATATAAACATAGAATTCATAAGGATCCTGTTATTGAAGGTGTTTTTGAATTATTATCACTGCTGTTTTATTATGTATGTTGCATTTATGGCTGTTGATGTAGGTTATGCTGTTTTTAAGTTTGGAAGTTTAATGTAAAGCAATGCATCATATTCTAAAACGCCATCATGAAAACATTATCCTGCAGTTTATCACAATCACACCATCAACACATCTGGAGATACATGGCTTCTCTCCGGACAGGAAGTAGAGCTGTGGAGTAAAAAGAACAATATGAACCTCTGAGACGAGTGGAGAATAAAGTAGCATAAATGTTTTCTCCCTGCGTCCCAGGCCCTGAAGCACTTCCTGAAGTGTCCCAACACTGATGACAACCTGGCTGTGGAGATGGCCATAGAGACGGTGAGAGCAGTGTGTCTCACTGAGCATCACACTGCATGTACAGAAGAACGTCAACAGTTTGTTCATTGTTTTTGATGTGGGTTTCAGGTGGGTCAGGCCAGGGACAGTTCTCTGACCAATCAGCTGATAGATTACCTGATGGGAGAAAGTGACGGTATGCCCAAGGTAAAGAACCTTCTGAAGCCGTCTCCATTGCATGTGTGTCAACGGCTGTGACTTCCCTTTGGGTAGTATTTCCCTTTCCCTTTAGTCTATGGGTGGGATACACCTCTTTAATGTATTCATAGCCAATTCTCCCTCTCCATGTCTCTCCTACTCCTCGTCTGGTGTGTGAAGTGTCTCTTCATTTGTTTTTGGGTTCATGTTTTTACACACACTGCAACAGTTAATGAAAAAACTGGATGTTTTTGTCAACAACTTTTTCCGTCACTGAAATGATAACCAACGTGATATTGTCGACCAAAAAAGATGAGACTAAAAGAAAAGCTTTACCCAGATCCTTCTTTCTATTTTCATCCCAAAATCCACATCTTCTGAATGCAGCCGTTTTGTGTCCTTTGCCACGTTGCCCCTTGTGAATACAATGTGTGTGAATCAGTCCCTGAGTGACACTGTGTACTAAACTGGTGATGGTTAGATGACCTTTCTTTCCTCTTCCCAGGATGCCAAGTATCTGTTCCGCCTGTACATGGCGCTGCAGCTGTTCAGAGAGGCCGCTCGCACCGCCATCATCATCGCCAGAGAGGAGCAGTGTGCAGGCACGTCTTCACACTGTGCTGCACCAATAACATTCTGTGAGATTTCCAATCCTCATTCTTTTTTCTACATGTTATTCCTCCAGGGAACTACCGTAATGCCCATGACGTGCTGTTCAGCATGTACACGGAGCTGCAGGCCCAGAAGATTAAGATCCCTGCTGAGATGGTCACAAATCTGATGATCCTCCACTCCTACCTGCTGGTCAAGGTCAGAGCGCCTGCTGTGTGTTAGCGATGTTTACTGTTGTCATGGTGTCTAGTAGGGATGCTACGTATTGCGCAGAGGCTTCGGAGCGTGTGTCGAGTAATTCCCGAAGCTTTTTGTGAAGCATGTATCGAGGCTTGTCTCGTTTTGGGCCAGTGACGTCAACGAGGACGAACGAAGCCTCGCTGCCCGTCGATACCACGTGACTGCTTCAGGAAGCGATTCAGATCGGTTGAACCACAACACTCATATTACCCATGGATGTATAATAAGAACCATATTACCCCTCCTGTACCCAGGCCCGGTGACACGATGGAATTAAGAGAGCTCAGACCCTCACTTATATAGAGGTCGGAACATGTCATAAGTATAAATAAATAAAAGCATAAATAAATACAGGAATAAATAGCGTGCAGTGTTTTCAGGTAGATTCAGTGTGTGTGCTGTGGCTCAGCTGGAAAGCAGTTTACCCACGACCGTAGGGTCCCTGGTTCAACGACTGGTTAATACGTATTTTTTGTTGTTAATAAAAGCTACAGCTAAATGAGATAATTGAGTTAATAAATGTATTCTTTGATATGGTTTAGCCTTTCTCAGGCTACAACATGGTTAAGTTTACGAATATTACTAAGGAATACAAATCCCGCTTTGCAATGTTTACCAGCCTCCTTAGGCTTTTCAATCACAATCATTAAACTGGAATAAAAACAATATTGTTAATGAAAATATGATTTAATGTTCGTTGTTTAGAGTTATTCTAAGGCTTTACTCATTGAGGTCTCGGTATGAGATAGAGCACACTGTTGAGATGTCATAATGTGCCTGTTTTACACACTTTGACCAGCAGGGGGTTTGTGCTCAGATGAACCCTTTTGCGAACCAATTGGCTTCATCTCGCCATCACTAGTGTCTAGTGATTCTGAGTCTCTCACACTCTTCCAGACCCACCTCAAAACTCATATCTTCACCTCTGTCTACCCATAAGCCCCCCCCCCCATCATCAATCCATTCCTGTTGACTGTCTTTGTTTGTCCTTATTTATCCGTCCTCCCTTATACTGTAAAGCGTCTGAGTTCAAGAAAAGTGCTATATAAATATAATGTATTAGTTATTATTATAATTAGTCTTTGTTCATAGACTGTTAAGGATAAAAAATATATATAAATAAGTAATCATAGTATTGTATGTCATAAAAAAGTCATTGCAGAGCATGCCATAAATCAATATGTCATAAAAGGTTATTTCATGTATTTATAGTATTTCAAACAAAGGTCACGGTAGGCTATATTATGTTGTAAAAATGTTTTTAAAAATAATTTGTCAATTTATAATCGTGTAGTATGTGAGTGTTATAGAAGTAGTAGATCAGCTCATACAAAATGGCAAAATAATATAGTAGGATGTCAAGAACGTCTTTTGTAAAAAATGGTAGTTATTATAAAGTCTTCAGTCTCAACATGTGTGTTGTGTTTCTGACTTTGTACATTGTGTTATTATGCAGATCCATGTAAAGAGGGGGGACCACCTAAAAGGCGCTCGCATGCTCATCCGGGTCAGCAACAATATCAGCAAGTTCCCTGCACGTGAGTCCACACAGAGAACTCTACATATCACATGATAACAAATCTAAATCAAGTGGAAATGTCCCCAACATAAAGAAACCCAAACAGAGGTCTAATCAGTGTTTGTGTGTAGATGTTGTTCCCATTCTGACGTCAGCGGTCATCGAGTGTCACCGCGCCGGACTGAAGAACTCGGCCTTCAGCTTTGCCGCCATGCTGATGAGACCGGAGTACAGGAACGAGATCGACTCCAAGTACAGGAAGAAGATCGAGGCCATGGTTCGGTGAGAATGTTCACACCTCCTGTGTTCTGTCAAACTCCCCCCTCCTGCTCTGTTCTAACCTCCCTTCCTTTCCTACACGTGTCCTCTCCCTGCACATCCGTCCTCACCTCAGACGTCCCGACACCTCGGAGCTGGAGGAGGAGACGACCCCCTGTCCCTTCTGTGGCGCTCAGCTGCCGCAGAACGAACTGCTCTGCATCTCCTGCAAGAACAACCTGCCCTACTGCATCTCCACGGTACAACACAGAACCACTGACTCGTTCATAACACCCCAATAGTTTCCCTTGTGTTTTGTATCTTTTGATATCTTTACCCTTCTGTTTTTCTCAGGGTCGTCATATGCTGAAAGAAGACTGGTCTGTGTGTCCTCACTGTGAATTCCCCTCACTCTACTCTCAGTTCACTCTGTAAGTTATGCTTTCATTATATTTAGTTTGCTACTACCCACATGCAGACAGTTTAGGCACTTCTTTGTTTTCCAAAGAGACGTTTTTTAAATGTGAAATCTTCTGATCCTGAAAGGGATCAGCTGGTTTAAACAGTGGCCTTCTGATTCTCAAATCAACTTGGACGGTAGCCGTTTGCTAGTTTAGAGCTCCACTGGCACCTTCGTTTTTCTAATTCAGAATTAGTTGGGCTTTTTAGGAAATGCGCTTATTGGCTTTCCTGCTAAGATTGATACCAGGATGTCACTGTACCATACACGTGTTTTCGTAGAGTTTAAACCGACAGATTATATTGTGTTTATTAGATGTGCTGGCAGGCACCTTTTGACAGAGCCAGGCTAACGGTGTATTCCGAAGCTATAACTTCATATTTAACTTGTGAAATGAGGGGTATCGATCTCCCACTTTTCTCATGGTCACACTCTCACATCTATACTGAATGTATTTTGGTGTTCAGGTTGCTGGAGACGGAGACGACGTGTCCCATGTGCTCCGAGGCTCTGAGTGTCAAACAGGTGAAGAAGATAACCGACTGTTCCAAATACCTGCAGGCTGAGGACCTCGATCAGTGACAACATACTACTCATCACATGTATATAGATGTATTGTCCTTTTGTATTTGTTTAAATATGTCAGATATATATATTTTGGATGGATTGTAAGCAGCTTTTAGTTTTTGTATGTGAAAATCATAGGAGTAGTTAATTTTTTTAAAGATGCTTAATATGCTAACAACTGAAAAATAATAAATCAAATAAAGAAAGCTTTGTATTTTTCCTGGAGTGGCTGAAGATGATTCAAACGGGTCATTATGCTCTGGATTACTGGAGGAGTTTAGAAATAATCATTAAGAGGATTTGTGGTTAAACCCTTCATCACGTTGCTTGGCAGAGTGAACACTGAACACAACTTCAAATCTATTGCCTGAATTTTCCCCCGAGCGGATTAGTTTTTTTTAGATAAATGAGTTACAGTATCTGTGAACATGATCTCTGTATAAATGTCATCCATCTGATTTTAAATCAAACGTAATACCAGCCTAAAACATTTTCTAAAAAGGATCTGATAAAGAAATCAACCAAAGACAAATATGACCAACATATTTCTCTATTTATCCTCATGAATGGTTTTTTTTTACAAAATCGCAATTTACAGGAACCTCAGTGCTAAGCGCAGAGCTCCAGCGTCTCTGTATTAAAGTCCTAACAAAGTCTGACAGTCCCGTACATCCGAGTCACATTATTTACAGCCTCCGCTCCTGGATCACTAACTGATGACGGTGGAAATGCTCTCACCTCCTGATGAGACGCACGTCACTACAGAGGACACATGATACAAGCTGGTATTATACATTTGTTCATTATAGAGACACTGAGCGACACGACAGGAAGTAAAAAAAAGACATTTCTGAGCCATCTAGTCAAAGGGGAGGGACGAGTGAGTTCCCAGCGGAGGTTAAGACCCGACTCACAGCACACTGATGCTCAGCAGAGGGTCTCTAAGTGCAGAGAAAGAGTGTAATAGTCTGTGGGGGCTGAGAGGGGGGGGGGGCAGAGCAGGACCGTGTTCATTTCTTGGCCTTTCCTTTGCCTTTCCCCTTCCCAGAAGCCTCCTTGGTCTCCTTGGTCTCCTTCTTCTCCTTGGTCTCCTTGGTCTCCTTGGTCTCCTTCTTCTTGATAGGTTTGCCCTTCTTCTGCTGCAGGGAGGAACACCGCACAGACGTTAGAAGATATGAACACAGCGCTTTGCACGCAGTGAATGTTAGATTGTTGATGCTCTTACTCTGATCATGGCGTCCAACTTGACGCCCTCGTCCTCAGACTCCTGCGATTCATTGTCCACCTCCTCCGCTCCCAGCTCCGACTCCCCGGCACCCCCACCCCCGCGGCGGCCCTTCTTCACGACCTGCAGAGAGTACGGCGTCAGGTGGACCTCCTTGTTGTAGGCCCGGGTGAACGCTGCCTTCACCTGAGAGGAGACAACATGTTGCAATGCAAAAATGTTACAATAAATCACTCTTATTTCCCCCATTCACAATATTCAATATAGGCTCTATATACCTACACAAATATACAAGGAGCTGTGGTTGTCTTTGACCATTTAAAATCTATTAAGCAGTAACCAGTTTATTTGAGGTTGTGAAGAACAGTTAAAATAACAAATGATAGAGAACAGTTGTTGTGGGTCAAGTGAGACCTATTTAAAATTAAAAAGGAAGTCGTACTGAAAAGCTGGCTCTGGAGTTTGTTGGGTGCAAATCGGCAAAGGTAAAAAAACATTTCTAATCTGTGACAATTTTAGCCTCTGTGATTTGCTGTTGAAACAAAAGTGAAAAAAGTTGTTAATAGAAGCTGCTATACTGATTATTGTTTTAAATTCATAATTGACTACATGTCATGTAGTCATGTATGTAATGTGTTTACTCTACTTGCTCAGCACAAAACAGCATGTGTAAATAAAGAAAAGCTTAGGAACATGTTCACATTTCAAACATCAACTCGCTTTGTTAATGTTATTAAAGCTTGTTTCTGCTGCTCCCGATTTCTCTAAAAACACTCACTTTTTAATTTTGCCCTTGATGGAACAATTAAACAGGTGAGGAAGTGTATTTAGAATTGGCTATAACAGTTATAGGTATAGAGGGACGAAGCAGACTGACACTCCGATAGATGCTGGAATAACTGGTATAATTTGTTATGCGTTTCCAATCCAATCTCCAAAATCTCAACAATTTAGACTCCTGCTGCTAACCTTTGACTCTAGTTTAGAGTAGGGGTCTGGTTGCCCCCCCCACACGCTGATCTCCATGAGGCTATCCACGTCCTCCCTGACCAGCTGGTAGTCATCCAGCAGCTGCACAGCCTGGGCGGCGCCCTCCGCTCCGAGCCTCTGCAGCGGGCTGAGTAGCGCCTGGCGCAGGTAGAACAAGTAGTCCAGGTTCACCGCCTCCCGGCTGCTCATCGTCCTGCAGGGGCCACACAGAGGACAATCTGATACTGTGACTACAACGTGTGAATACTCAGAGGACAGTCAGATACTGTGACTACAACGTGAGAATACTCAGAGGACGGTGAGGAAGGCCGGCTCACTTTAATCCCATGTGTGAGGAAAGCTCCTGCACGATGCGAGAGTGCTTGCTGGTGGAGGAGTGCTTGCCGAGCCAGCTGGGGAAGGTGGGGAACTGACTCATGTAGCCCCTCATGAGCTCGCCGGGTAGCACACTGGCATAGACAGCCTGCACACACACACACACACACACACACACACACACACACACACACACACACACACACACACACACACACACCTTTTCAAATGTATACGTTTGCTATGTCTGACTGTAATTGATATATCAGGTTGTCTGTGGGTTAGTAACAGTTGATCCATCAATTTAACATGTGTATTTGTCCAAAGAGGTTCAACGCAAACATTTGCATAAATGTAATCATCGTGTAGGCCCTTGGTGGGACTCTGTTGTCTTTGTATGGAAACCTTTTTATGATTAAACTGTGACTTTTTAGTTTTTTCACAACATACTATTCTTGGTCTTTTTTAATTATCACTTTGACATTTTTGATGGCATGCTCTACCCTGATATCTTTGACTTTTTGTCTAATATAAGGTAAGATGTACTTTATTGATCCCAGATTGGGAAATGTTTGCGTTGCAGCAGCATCAAAAACAAACAAGGGATTGCACATAAATAGAAATGAGTAGAAATAAACAATTCTAAACTGTAAACATCTCAAAATAGAAATAAAACACCATTTTAAAAAGTAGAAAAATATACAGTAGACCGTGAAGATAAGAAATCTATAAACTCTGACAATAAAACACTATTGTGCCAATTTTCAGTTAACACAATATAACAATGTATTTCACAAACTAAATCATGACCTTCAAATACTCCTGTCTGTCTGTGTGTGTGTCTGTGTGTGTGTGTGTGTGTGTGTGTGTGTGTGTGTGTGTACCTTGATCTGTTCCACTCGGGGCCTCTGGAAGCGCAGGTCGAAGCAGTGGTTTGCCAGCGACCTGATCTTCATGTGGTTACGATCGTTGCACATGAAGATGATGGGAACCTTTGACGTTTTGATCAGACTGATCATCTCCTGCAGAAAGATGTCAGAGTTCAGTAACAAGAAACATGATGCAGCCGGTTGTTGCTTTCAGTCCCCTGCTGCTACAGCTTCGAGGAGCAGTTCATTTATAGTCATTGTTTCTGTAGATGCATTAACAACAACCGACAGTAGTCTCATCACAAATCAGACATGTGAACCTCTGCAGTACATTTTTTAAATTTAAACCACACCTTTCATTTTGCACGTGAGAATCTGGTCAGAGAAATGTGTTATTTCTTTACCTGGATTCCTCCGCGGTCCTCGTTGCCGGCCATGCCATCGACCTCATCCATGATCAGGACGTGCTTACTGGTCACTTTCTGAGACGTGCCTACAAAACACACAACAACAGTTACACACACTACATAATATTCAATTAGATGCTAGACAAATGTATGTTGTGTTGATTCTCTAAGAGAAAATTATTTGACCTCTAGGTAAAACCTTAACTTGAAAATGGCAAATATGCAACATTACTATACTTGAGTTATCGGCTTTTACTACAGTAACGCAGCGTCCACACGGCAGCGTGCGTAGAAGCTTGCCGGCGGGCGTGTCTGAAGCTCGACCAACAACCAATCACATGAATCTCCCGCCCCAGAAACACAAGCAGGCGGTTTGATTGGCTAGAGCTTGTACTGGCATATGATTTGATATGAAGCTTGAAAAGTTTAACTTTTCTCAACCTTCACCGCAAGCAAAGCGACGTGAAGGAACCACAATGCAGTTCGGCAAAGCGTGACGTCACCCCATTCAAAGTGAATGGGAAGCATTCAACGCACGCCGCCGTGTGGACGGGCCGTAAGTGACACCTCATCCTGTAGAAATCACAGCCTTTAAATGATTCTTGCAACAAGCTTTCATTTCAGAAACATTTAGAAGTACATGTGATAACACACTTCTAAAGCATGGGTGTCTAGTTCTAAGGCTGGATATGTGTTTTTGACAACCTTAACACCATTTTTGTTTTAGCTAACTCCATATCAAAATGCTAACAGTTGTCAGTTTTGTTCTTTGCAGTCCTCTCATGCAACTATTCAATTAATAATAAAATACTTCTCATCGCTGCAACATAAGTACACCTTTTTCAGAAACCAGCACATGAATAAACGCTGACGTTGGTTCAGATGTGTCGCTACTGAAACAGAGAAACAACCGTAAAGAGGGATCACCTTTGTAGAAGCCTTCGATGCTCGTGTTGTTGAGTGACTCGGACACGACTTCCTTCAAACTGTTTTTGCTGCGAGTGCAGCTGGCGTTCATCTCCACAAAACTGAGGCCCAACTCCTGCAGGACCACACACAAACAACGGGAGAGGTTTAGTCAAACAGAGACCAAAGCAATATGTTTAAGTTTAAGACATTTGTCCCCACTGGAAGTCAAAGGGTAAGTCATAATCAGATAATAATACAGACTGGGAAGAAAAGCACCTAAAAACACTAAGTCTGTGTGTTTATACTGACCTCACAGACCAGGGCTGCTGTGGTGGTCTTCCCCACGCCCGGGGGTCCAGAGAGCAGAGCAGCTTTGAATCCTGAACCGTCATCTTTGCCGCGTCCAAACTTACCGAACCTTGCAACTACACAGCAACAAAACATGTTTCATGTTAAACTATGATTGACTGACTTTTCCCACCCACAAGCTGCATCCCTACCCTCAAAAACATGTTTACACCAGAGATCAAATCTAACATGAAATAAGTCTGACCACACGAACTGTAATGTGAATTGTGATCTGATTACTAAAAAGGGCATTTCACACAGTTTTTACAAAAACTGTAATAAACGTTGCTTTGAGAAGATGATTTGTTATCATTACTCGGAATACTTCTGACACCTAAAAACACAACATGATAAACCGTGTGCTACCTGGTGGTTTGGAGGTGCCGTTGCCGTGGTGTCGGAACCAGTTCTTCAACCAGCGGACCAGCTTGTTGGCACAGCTCTGATCTCCCTGCTGGCCAATCACAGCCTTCAGAGAGAGTGGGCGGTACTTGTCCACCCACAGCAGGCTGGCGTCCTCCCCTTTCTCTGAGGGGGAGGCTGCTGAGGAAGAGGAGAGGCCCAGCTCCCTCCGGGCTGTGTGGGCCGAGCCCCTCCCCGGGGGGGTGTCTCTGCCTCGGGTCCCGGCGCCGCGGCCCGGAGCCAGGCCGGTCTTTGAGGGGCTCGGGGTGTGAGGGGAGCGGGAGTTACCCTTAGAGGGAGAGATCTTCTGAAATGTGGGGGTGCTCTTTGAAGTCCTGCCGAGGGGGGTCTTGGTCTTTGAGGCTTTGTTCTAAAAGTCAAAATCAACTGAAAGTAAATGGCATGTTTCTGTTGCTATAACAAACAGATAGGCGCTGTATCAGAATCAGTATACCTGGATGTGGCCCAAAGAGGGGACATGTACATTGTTGAAGCAAAAGTGAAGAGCCAAAAATAACAAAATATGAATTTAGAGGCATGTATTTGTATACATGCCTCTAAATTCATATTTTAAGAGAAAAATACAACAACAATAAAGTAAATAAAGAGAGGCTACTCAGCAGTGAGTAGGAGCTGCTATTCGAGCGAAGCCATTAAACATCAGTCAACTAAGTGAGCATTTGATGCATCGCCCTAACTGTTGTTATTTCTTACAATAATAAAAACGACTGTGACTGTAAAGAAGAGATGTTTCATATTCTTACATCTTCTGGGTTCCAACTATTCCACTGCTGACAAAATCACTTTGTGAACAGCTTGCTTAAAGTAAAAATATGAGAGCGTACCTCAGCTTCTGCAGCGACCTCGTACTTGGACTTCTTTCCAGGTTTGGTGCTGATCAGCTCCAACAGACCATCTTCATCCAGGATCTTGGTCCCAAGACTCTCCGCCTGAGCACAAAGCCACAAACTATATAGGTCAAAGGACAGATCCAAGGAAAAAACTAATGTAGGGAAATGTGTAATAGGACACAATGTATTAAAGCCAAATATCAAAGTGTTTATAAGCTCCTATCAGCTAGTGTGTATAACTTAAGAAACAGTTCAAGTTAAATCAATCACACATATTTTCTACAGAAACATTTTTTTGTATTTCTGGATCAGGGGGGTCACCTTCTCGAGTTTGGAGACTCCGCTGTCTCTGCCCTGCACCATGTAGGTGGTCTTCTTGCTGATGTTGCCCGTCACCTTGCCTCCGTAGCGCTCGATCAGGGATTTGGCTTCATCCCTCTCCATGGACTCCATGACCCCCGTCAACACAAACACACAGCCCTCCAAACAGTTCTCTGCACCCTGGAAAACACACACACACACACACACACACACACACACACACACACACACACACAG